TCCTGTTGGATCGGAAGTTACGACATTTTTTTGATCTGAAGCAACAACTGGAGCTCGCTTGCTGTGAAGGTAACTTTCTCCCTTTCGCGCGCTTCTTCGGCCAAATCCCGTAAATCCGCCGAATCGGTTGATTTGAGAAATCCGGGATTTACCGCAAGAAGTGCTCTTTTTCCGTCAGCCGCGGATTCCATTTACCGTGAGATTTGGATTTGCATTTTAGGCCGTTTGGCTGGATTTCGCCCAAATCCGGCCTTAAATCTGGCTAAATCCGCATACCAAACATCCCCTTAGGTGATGGAGAGAGCATCGGATCTCCTACCAAATCGTGGTGGGAACCAATAGCTTCCTCCGCTCACTGGCGGGAGCAGAAGGTCTAATCGAGGGTTTGGTGCATCGGAGGCTTAGATGAGCGTTGCGATCGAGAGGGAAGAATGGATGCTGAGCCCCCTCATCTATGGCTTCCTTCTAGCCTGTTGTTTCTTGTCCGTGTTTCTCCATCCCTACTTCTCGCGAAGCGGCGGAGCCGCGAGGACGACGACTACTGCCTCCTCGCTCTTCGATGTCGGCCCCACGGCGCCGTTTCTACGTTTCCAGAGGAGCTTCTTGCTTCTCTACTCTCTTGCGTCGGGTAGGGCTTCGCATTCATGTATTTATTTATATAATGTGCGTTCATTGCGATGATAATTATGTTCTTTTTGTTTTTGGAGTTGAAATTCATTGGTAAATTAAACTTATGCAGTGATGGAGGGGCTTGAATCTGTTGTCGGGGAGTATGAGTTTGCGTACCATGGGATGAGTAGGGATCAGATGGTTTTGGTTGCATCTGCAGGAGTAGCTGTTTCACTCGTTTTTGGCACTTTTTTAGGCTTTCTTTCTGATATAATGTGAGTTTCTGATTCTTTTGTTTTCTTTTTGTAATTATGCTCGACGCCTAAACAATGAAATGAAAAAAAAAAAAAGAATTATGTGGCTTAATGTTTTATATACAACAGTTTCCTTGAGCTTTCTTACGGGGTTTTCTGTGTATTTGTACTCGATTTCTCTGCAGCCAAACTAATGTCTGGTGTTTTGATGAATGATCCATTAAAAAGTGGTGTTCGATTCTCACGCCGATCTATTTGATGAAGTTTTAAGCAGGGAATCCATACCAAGACAATAACTTGGAAATCTCTCTAGTTTACATTTATTGACTTCCCTAAACTGATATGTCAAAGACTTTGTGCTAAGTATGATGGCTTTTGGACAAGAAACAGCTAAAGGATCTCAAGCTTCACAAAAGGTGGTTGATGGATTTTCTAGTTATGAAGAGATGAATATTTTCCTCCAAAAAGTAGTATGATTTATGTTTTTTTTTTTTTTAATTTCATATATTGGCCTCAAACATTAGTTGATTTTGAATCATATCCATTCCCATATTCTTTAATTTATATCCCCTCCATCTAATGTCATTGTTAGATTTGTTTTGCTTGTTCCTCACAGTAGTTGTGTTGGACTAGATTGTGCACCCAATTTTTAGATATTCTTTGGGGTTCAAGTTCTTAATCCAATAGTTACTAGGGGAAGGAGATCACCATACATAAAAAATCTTTTGAAACTGAGAAACTTTCCATCCTAATCATTAATAAATATCCTCACATGGAGTTGATAAAGGGGACTTTTGTATGCCTCTACATTTAAGTTAACTATTTGGCCATCCCTCTCTTTTCTTATGTTCCTCTTATAAAGAATCCTCTCCACTTCCTCTTTTTTATTTTCTTGTTCTCTTTCCCTTAGAAAATGCATAGCTCCTTCCTTTCTTCATCCTCTCATCCTATGATTTCTAACTTGAGCATCCTAGTAGCCTCTCCTGGTAGTCCCAATGATGGTTCTATTGTAGGCTTCAGTGATTTAAAGGAAAATATCTACATGTGTTAAATATTATTACCTCGAGTATCAATTTGAAGTATCTATCAATTCAACCCTAGTCAAATATGGTCAAAGGCCATTCAACAGTGGTTAAATTTGTCAGCTTGAGTCACACCAATTTAGATCATGCTAGGGTTCTCCATTAAATCAAATGTGTAGTTATTGGTCCAAGACAAACTTAATTGAACTTGAAGAAGCCTACGTGTACTTGACAACACTCGATCAAAACTAATTAGATGGACTTATGCCCATAGTCTGGTTGAAAGGGTTGGTCTTTTTAAAGATGAACACAATTGACGTAAGCTTGAAAAAAAGCCCTATTTTACTTGTCCCTATGAAATTATTCCCTACTCTTCCAAAAGCCTCTATTCAGCCTTCCACACTAGTTCCATTATGTCTAGAAATCTTAACAAGTGATCGTTTTCCCTCTATAAGTACAAGGGAAGGGAACAATCATGGAAGAAGAGATGAGAGCTTGCAAGTGGAATTTGGGCCCATTATTGCCATAAATCTTAAGAAAAGGTGATTTGCCCTCTATAAGTACAAGGGAAGGGGGAAATTATGGAAGAAGAGAGGAGAGCTTGCAAGTGAAGATGGTTACATCATGCCAAAATATCACTATAATGAATGGGATTTGGTCCCATTATGGATAGAAGCTTAAGAAAAGACCATGTTCCATCTATAAATACAAGGGAAGGGGATAATCATGGAAGAATAGAGGAGAGCTTGCGAATGAAGATGGTTAAACATGGATTTAATGAACGAAGCTCGAGTATCTCTTGTTTTACGTTGTTTTGCTTTAGGAAGAATGGCAATAACTATACCCTTCACCTTCTTCTATTCACTAACCTATAGGCTTCTTGCAATGTAACTTCTTTCATCACCACCTAACATTTTTAACTTTGTCGAGCAGCACCCATTAACTTCATGCTTGGCATGTTGGGGAGATCTTAATCATTCAGGTGCCTTGTGCACCACCCATACATTTTTTTTTAGTATGGAGAGAGGTCCCCTCAATACTCCACTTTTTCTATACACTCATCTTGGATATGCTCATCATACTCTTTGTTGCTCTTTGCTAGATTTATTGAACTGCTGCAGAAATTTTTTGTGCTTTTAGTACTTAGAGAAAGCATCATTCTACGGATCCCACGGGGAAGTCTCATCAGATTTTTATGAGGTAGTGACTTGAACATTTTGCAATCAACGAAAGGCCCAAAACAAAATCATAAACAAACTAAGAAAACATAATAAAATTTTATAAATATCTTGCTAAATTTGATGTTGATGATAGACTCCTTCGCCGTTTATGTCTGTATAACAAAAAGTCAAGTTGATTAGGTCTAATAGGAACCTCACCAACTTATATGATGAATGAAATCGATGACACAACAAAATTGACTTTTGTGTTCATCATTCAAATGATGGGCCCCATCCATTTAGCTCAAATACCCCTCAAGTTAGAACAATGTTTAGATGATCTTTAGGATGCATTCCTCATTGGATTGTTCTAATATAGGATCTCATCGTCCATACAATCAATGCAAATTATCCCAATTATTATAGTGGGTAATACTAGAAAATTCTAAACTTCATTGGGGATCGTTCGGAGGACACATGATGTTATTTGAATTGCTGTTTAAATGCATCATATCATTAAGTTGTATTTGAACATAAATAGTTAAGGTAAGGCTAATGATGATATGTATTTCTACATTAATGTCAGTCGTATTTTACGGGCATAAATTTTAACTTGTGATACTATCCTGTTTTGGAGTTAAAGAAAATAGGCAAAAAGGCATCATATCGTGCATTAATGAATATCTATGCACTTTGTTGCGATTGATAGGTTATGTCATAAATAGTTTATGCTATGCTACAGCACTAGGGTTATTTAAAATGCTTTTTGTAAACAATCATGTTTGGTTTGCTAAAAAGCTCGTGTTTGATTCATTGTTAAGCGTGTCGATATTGATTAGTAATTTTGAGTTCTTTTTCTTAACGAACCTAGCCTTGTTGATCGTATTCAACTTGTTGTTGGTTTGAAAAAATTAGGAATAAATAACTAAATATCTTTAAATTGTATATTATTAATTTATATTTTTTTCATTTTTATTAATTAGTTGGTAGATATGTAGAATGAGTATATTATGTTTGGCTCATTACTTATTTATTTTCATTTGTTTAAAATTGGTTCGTGTTTGGCCTGAAAGCTGAACACAAATGCAATATTCATATACACATTCAAACAATCGTCTGATACAAACATTTGAAAATTTGAATGAGCCGAACAAAAACACAAAACAAGCTTTCTTCTCATCTCATTTACACCTCTACATGTGGTTTCTTAAATACTCAGTGTTATTGTGTTATAGAAACTTCAAAAATTGGTTTGAATAGTGAAGGTATGAAGGTGGAAGAAAAAGAGGCGCTTGGCCATGGTGGTGATTCGTATTAAAACCGGTAGATTGATAGTCAGGCAAAACATGCAACTAAACAAGCTTAAATGTATCCTTCTAATTCGTGCAAAATTTTCCTGTTACTCCCACAATTAGAAGTTCCCTACAGATTTGGAAGAATTCTAAATTGAATAAACAATTCCAAGATTGAAACATGTCACACGTTGCATAGTATATGAAATTGTGATTTGGGTAAGAGAGACTTACGGAGATTACAGGAGACTAAATTTGACTTAGACCCTTGCTTTTGAACTATTCCTATACTGTGCTGCCTTGTTTTATATCTTCCAAATTGCATTGTTTAGCAGAAAGTTTTTCTCATATGTTCAGACATCTTTCTCCTCCATTCTTCCATCTTCTTGCTTGATTGAGATTTGAAAACTCAGTCAAATACGAACATTTAAAATTTGAATGAGCTGAACACAAATACAAAACAAGCTTTCTTAAGCTCATCTCGTTTACACCCCTACATTTGGCTGCTTAAATAGGCACTGTAATTGTGTTATAGAAACTTTTAAAATTAGTTTGAATAGTGAAGGTATGGAGGAAGAAAAAGAGGCGCTTGGCCATGATGATGGTTCTTACTAAACCCGGTAGATTGATAATTAGGCAAAAACCTGGTATTCAACAAGCTTAAATGTACCTTATTGATTCGTGCAAAGCTTTATTGTTACTCCCAAAGTAGAAGTGCCCTAGAGAATGGGAAGAATTCCAAATTGAACAAACAATTCCAAAATTGGAACATGTCACACATTGCATAATATATGAAACTGTGATGTGGGTAAGAAAAACTTACGGAGCTTGCAGGAGACTAAATTTGACTTTGACCCTTGCTTTCTAACTATTCCTATACTGTGTTGCCTTGTTTTATATCTTTCAATTTGCAATGTTTAGCAGAAAATTTTCTCATATGTTCAGACATCTTTCTCCTCCATCCTTCCATCTTCTTTTACTTGATTGAGATTAGAAAAACTCAATCAAATTCGAATACATGAAAATTTGAATGAGTCGAACAAACACAAAACAAGCTTTCTTAAGCTCATCTCACTTACACCCCTACATTCGACTGCTTAAATAGGCAGTGTAATTGTGTTATAGAAACTTTTAAATTTTATTTGAATAGTGAAGGTATGAAGGAGGAAGAGAAAAAGAGGCACTTGGCTATGATGATGATTCTTACTAAACCCCGTAGATTGATAATTAGGCAAAAATATGTAACTCAAGTTACTCAACAAGCTTAAATGTACCCTATTGATTTGTGCAAAGCTTTCTTGTTACTGCCACAGGTAAAAGTGCCCTAGAGAATGGGAAGAATTTCAAATTGAACTGACAATTCCAAAATTGCAACATATCACTCGTTGCAAAATATATGAAATTGTGATGTGGGTCAGAGAGACTTGTGGAGATTACAGGACACTTAATTTAACTTAGACCCCTTCTTCTAATTATTCATATCATGTGCTGCCTTGTTTTCTATCTTCCAAATTTCATTTGTTTAGCAAAAATGTTTTCTCATATGTTGAGACATGTTTCTTCTCCATTCTTCCATTGCTTGATTGAACTTAGAAAACTCAGTAACAAAAATTATTGTAATTTTAGAGGCCCAAGAAAATTTTGCATCTTATTTTGCTTCTTCCATCTTCTGGTGGGCGTCTTAAAGAGTGTGACGTGGCAGCAAAGTATGTTAATGTCAACTCTATTCATGGGAATTGCTTCTACTGTTTATTCATTTTGTTTTGAGACATGGATGGTAGCTGAACATGAAAAGGTTCGTGTTGAGTTATGATGCTTCAGTTACTCTAGCATTACTCTTTTGAAAGATTCTATGACGTCCTTATTCTTTGCTTGGCAGCAAGGTCATAGAAGAGATCTGCTGAGTGATACCTTCTGGTTGATGACCTTATTTGAATCTTCATCTCTCCTCGGTAGTCAAGCGCTTGCAAACCTTTTAACCAAGGATCTCAAAAAAGGATTTCTTTTGGCATCTGCACCCGCAGCCCTTTTGGCCATCATTAGCATCATTTGTATAAGGAAAGAATGGGATGGAAATAACCAAAAAGCTACTGTTGAAAGTTATCAGAAATCATTTGCAGGGCACATTATTGCAGGTAAGATAATCAAATGCAGATGGCAAGCTGTATTTTTGTTTAAAGTAGGCAAGTTTTTCTAGTTAATGGAATGGTTGACGAATGGTGATTTTGTCATGTTCTGTTTGGCTTCCTCTTTTAACGTGTAGATATACCAGATTGAAGACTGTAGATAGGGAGAAAAAGCTATGATGAAAACCTAGTTGGATAAAATATCCATCAACAATAGTTTTCTATACAATTCTAATATTATAAAATGAGGAAAAGTTACGTACATAAGTTGTCATAAATTGAAACAAGATTTAGAAAAGATTTTGTTTATATATTAATAATGATTCCATTGAATAGTATCCACCAAAACAAGCCTACCAATCAGCCTCTTTCTTTTTTAATTGGTGTAAAAGTCTAATTAAACATTAGTTTGATTTGCCGCAATCTTTCTATTCTTATAGGAGCATCATTTCATGCATATGTTATAGGGGATGTTTGGTTCGATAGTATGCAGCCTGCTGCTGTCTTGATTACAATATTATTCAGATGATTATGTAATTAGTGTGGTTGATTCAATGTCGATGTAATGTTATGTAGAAAAGTTGATTATGCTTATTAAAATTTTTTTGTCGTCATTTATTTTAGCTAATGATAACCTGACATCTAGTGTTGGCAGATTTAGCCCACTTTTAAATATCTTCAAAATGGACTTAGATATCTTGTATGAAATTGTTATTTAAAAATGTCAATGAGTCAAACCGTTGACATCATCTGCTAATAACATGAATAAGCAAAACTAATGTTTCTGTACCATACAGCCCTTTATTGTTATATGATTGCAACTTTCAACTTACTTCCATGTTCATGATGAAAATCGCTGAAAAATTTCCATGATGTCTCAGCATGTAATAAGTAACCAAAATTTACTTACATATTTGGATAGATCCTTATGAGCTCAAATTCCTGCTAATTAAAATGGTTCTACTGGGTCTGCGAAAGTGGAATTGTAAATGAACATTTTGGTCTTAATATGGCTTAAAGTTAATCCTGGCAACAGAGGGCAAGTTTTTTTTACTTTTGGAAAAAATTATCTTCTCGTAATTGAATGTCTCAAGGCCAAGTCCTGGCTACTGTTATTCAGGTCCTACTCTTGGAACTTGAGGCAAGACAGCTTAATGGTCGCACTTATGTTCTAACTGATTTTCCAAGTGTTATAAGTTTTGTTGCATTAAATTTTTGTTTGTTGATAAACCACATTGATTTCGATAAATAAATCTTTTTCTCATTGCCAAACTTGCTTCGCCCTTCTTTGATGTTACTATTTTTGATGCGGTTGAATTTCTTTTGAAATCTAAGTTTCTTTCCAAGATGAATGCCAACCCATTTTGAAATTGTATTGAAATTTTTGAAAACTGGATCTTTACAGCTGAATAGGAAAAATAGATGATATAGTTTTGAGATATTTTCGCTCTGTCAAAATATAATTTTGTTTGGATACTACCTACTTCCATTATATATGTATATGCAATTGTTTGAATGTATAGTTCTCGCTGTTGTATTTTGTTCTGGTGTCGTTATGGGAGAAAATATGTTTATTGGGTATGCGTGCAACTGAAACTCTGATGCCACGTCTGTTCTGTTTCTTCACATGAGATTTTCCCTGCTTGACAGATAAAAGCATATGGATGCTTGGATGGGCTCAAGCAAGTGTCCATTTTTCCTTATCTGTCTTTTGGATTCTTTGGGCACCAACCATAGTGGTATGGTTAACATTACTTCACTATTGAACGTCTTCTTCTTTAATATCTTTATACTGTAGCAGTATTTGGGTCCATTGCCTAAATTTTCTATACTTTACGGACATAGCAGAACTCTTGTTAAACTGATGAAATTATTAATATTCTGTGTATCTTTTAATTGTGAAGTGCTTGTCTGCTTGAATATTACACGAGCTTGGTACGTCAAATTAGAGTAATGAGGTAGTCCAATGACTGCACTATCATTGCCAATGCCAGTTTTGCATTGGTCTGCCAATAAGTATATACCTAGATATATAGCACGTGCCATGTGATACTGGTCATTCACGGAAACTGTGACCATTTATCAATTCAAAGAGCGGTTCTTTGTGATTCATGACTGGCTGTTACAAGTTTAGCAGCTTTTGGGAAGATTGTAGCGTAGAAATTATTTTGTTCAGACGCTGAACACGGTACAGAGATAAATCAGAATGCGCCATGTCACTCCCTGCTCGGTACCGCGGCTCGGTACTGTTGATGTGGTGCATTCTGGTTGATCTGCAGACGGTGAACTGCGTTCGGCGTCCGCACAGAATAATTTCCCGATTTTAGTGACAGCCAATATCATCTCCATTTCTTTCTGATGCAGACATCGGCACGAAGATCTGGCGCATCTATCACAGGAGACGTCGTAAATCGACGGCTCTAATTTAAGTTGTCATTTATGAATTATTTTCTGCATTTTAGTTTCTATTTTATGTTATTTTCTCTTTTACCCCTAGGTTAATTTATTTGAGTGTTGTGGCCCAAGGGGCATATTTGTAATTTTCTATTTTCTCATGTTATGGCCTATAAATAAGGACCTTTAGCTATTGTAATGGATGGTTAATGAATATGAAAATTTTGTGTTTTTCCACACTTGTGTTCTTTTTGAGAGAGGATGAGAGTGAGATTCCTATTGGAAGGAATCGGAGTTGTCACCAGCCGCAGGATGGGTCCGGGCTCGTGATTTGAAGTCCCTTGGAGAAGGGCAATCGGATCACCCGTCGGTCTTCGGAAGAGTCCAAGGCTCGCGTTTTTTTTTTTATATCCTCTATTGTTTGTTTCGATCTTTGTTTTTGTTCTCTCTCTTCTTTAATTTTTTTTTTCTCATCGTCTTCCTCCTCCCCATCTTCGTTTGGCCACCGGATTCACCTCCACCCGAAATCCTTCATACCCTCTCCACCTCATGGCTAATTGAAACTTTCCTAATCCCAAAACCTAAATTAGGAAGACCAAATTTGAAATTCAAATTTCGAATTTCAAATTCTTTCCATTTTTAGAATTCCAAAATAGGAAAGTTAATTATGACATCCATCTAATTCAAAATAGATTGGTTTCGATATTAATTTTCCTAAATCATAATCTTTGTTTGGAAAACCCCTTTGGAAAACCTTGATTGTTCAATGAAATTTGAATTTTGAAATCTTTCCAAATTTAGAACTCTATTTTGGAAAGTTTTCAAGTCAAATCCACTTTAATCTCTAATTGGATTGGATTTAAAATTCCCCATTCATACCTTCCATATTTAGCCCCTTGTGTTTTAGGAAAGGATTTGAAGTCAAATTCAAAATAATTTGAATTTCAAATGCTTTCTATTTATGCTTAAGCCTTGAAGGAAATATCCCTCCATCACCTTAAATCTGAGATTAATTGATGTGGACATCGACCAGAGGTTCAGACATGTGTATCGCCGTAGACAGCGCAGATCGACGGCCACGATTCAGAGTTTATATTTTTAGTTATTCATGTATTTCTTTTATGCATTTTCTTTTATTTCTTAGAATTTCCTATTGTACCCTTAGTATGAGTTCGGCGTCCGCACAGAATAATTTCCCGATTTTAGTGACAACCAATATCATCTCCATTTCTTTCTCTCTATTGTACTTACCTAGGGTGAGGCCATCTTAACCTTATACTAATGCAGCCAGTTCATGACATGACAGAAATAAATAGATCATTATCATCATTATGGTGAGGCTTACCCCAACCATTTTTGGTATGTATAAAACTACTAGTTTATTAGAGGAGTTAATATGACACCTTCCTTTTGACCTATTGAGATTTGCAGAATGATTGGTCTTGCATCCTCCCTGACTTCCCTTCGTATAAAGATACATGCATTTATGCATCTGCACATCTTCATGACATTTCTACCAGCTATGATCACTCGATTTTATTTCAGGAAGATGGGAGGGAAGTGCAGTTATCGCACATATATCCTTGTTTTCTTGGTTCAAGGATGCTTGGAAGCACGGCCTTTCCATGGTTTTCTGGTACTTCAGCTTTGCATAATGAAGATCACAATCATTTAATAGCTGCATTTGTTATTGCGGGACTGGTTTTGTCAATCATTGCTTATGATTATCAGGCAATACTCTGAGAAATAACAAAATGTTAATTATCATTTCCCCAATTTTAGGTCTATAATCCAATAATTGCAAATAATATCATAATTTCTTCCTTCACAGGATATTGGAGTTCTGGTTGTCTTGTTCTGCATCTTTCATGCTTGCATTGGCTTGATTTCACCTTCTCTAGCTAAGTTGAGAACAATGTAAGTCTTATTTCATATGTAAATGCTTCATGTCTTCCTTTTTAAAGCCTAGATGTGATTGCTTCTTCTACTGTCTTATCAGGTATGTTCCCGACGAGCTGCGCGGAGGCATGATCAGTGCATCTCTAGTACCGGCAAATGCAGCATTTTTATTTGTGCTGATTATTGTCAGTATCTTGCTTTATAGTTTTCATAAGTGTTCATTTTACCACCGACGCTATTGCTACATGCTTATGAAAATGTGTGCGCTGTTTATAGGGGGGTTATTATCGGAGACTCGACAATGCTGCTATCATGGCCCTGGCTGCAGTTGGCTTATTGAGTGCTGCGGGTTGTCTCCATGTATTGAGATGGTGGAGAAAGCATCTTCGTCAAAACTGGCATGAACTATAGGGATGGTTATTCTCATTGCTCATATCTGAGGTGCCAATAAGTGAGCAATCCTCTTTTTACCCCTTTTGGTTATCTCCTCTACGCTATCTTGCAGTTGTTAATAGGCCCATTTGTATAAATATAGTATGATTTTGGAGTTCCATTGGCATATTTGCTATTTTATGTTTTAATGACTGAAAGCTATAACTACTGTGATGCGGACATCGGCACGAAGATTTGGCGCATCTATCAAAGGAGGCGTCGTAAATCGACGGCTCTAATTTAAATTGTCATTTATGAGTTATGTTATGAATTTTAGCTCTTATTTTATCCTATTTCCTGTTTTACCCCTAGCATAGTTTATTTGAGTGTTGTGGCCCAAGGGGCAATTGTGTAATTTTGATTTAATCATGTTGTGGCCTATATATAGGGCCTTAAGCTATTGTAAAAGAGATGAAGAATTGATATTAAAAATGTGTCCACACTTGTGTTCTTGTGAGAGATCGTTAGTGAGATTTCTATGGAGAGGAATCGAAGTTTTCATCAGCCGCAGGATGGGTCCGGGCTCGTGACGTGAAGTCCCTTGGAGAAGGGCAAAGCATCACCCGTCAGTCTTCGGAAGAGTCCAAGGTTCGCGGTTCTCATTTTCTCTCTTTCGTTTACCTTCTATCTTTCGTTTTATCTTTGTTTTGATTTCTTCCTTTTTATCTCTCCCCGTCGTCGTTTTCATTTTCTTCCTCCATCAACCTCACGGGCCAAACATCCATACCAAGCTCCACAAATTTTCCACCACAAGCCAACGACCCCTCCTCTTTCCCCAAAGCCCCCACGGCCCAATTGCCCCAAGCCCTTTGCCACCGGCCAAGACCACAACCGCCGGCCCCCTCATCTTCCTAGCCGCTGACCACTCCCCTCCTTTTCCCCCATCCAATTTTATTTCCTGTTTTAGATTAAATTGAATGTGGGAAAGTTTTGAAATTCAAAATTAATCATTGCGAATTTTCAAAATCTTTCCTAATTTAAATAGTCTATTTTAGGAAAGTTTCTTAATTAACTCAATTTGAATTTCAAATTCAAATTGAGTTTAATTGAGCCCTCTACCATCTCATAAATCTCCTCTTTGGGCATGAATTAATTAAGGGATAATTCCGGAAATTCAAATTTCGTTGAATTTGAATTTCAAAATTATTTCCTAAAATAATTCTCCTATTTTGGGAAAGTTTTTATTTTAATCTAATTTGAAATTGAAATTCAAATTGGATCACAAATAATACTTTCCAAAATCTTATACCTATTTTAAAGAGCCTTATTTATTTTAATTAAACTCCCTCTTGGCTTATCCCTGCCGCTGGCCACCCTATTTAGTCAATTAGGATTTATTTCCTAGTTGACTCTTATTTCCCTTTGCAATTAACTAAAATCATTCCCCACCCACCCAGCTGTTACTTCTTAAATCAAATAATTGATTTAGGAAAACAATTCCCCTTTTTTTTCTTTTTCTCTCACCCGCCCCCTCTCATTCATTAACTCCAGCTCTTTGGGAAAGAATTCCCAAATCTGAGAATTCCCAAAAATCTCAAGGAATTATAGCACAATTTAATTCCTATCCCTCCACATGAAACTGAGCCATTAATTCCTTCCATAGGCTGAGAGTGGAATTAGGAAATTCTGGTCACAATCAGCCGCCTCCTCCTTAATTGTGTTGCTTGGTATTTACTCAGTTTTATTTCCTAGTTTATTGCCCAAATCAGTTCACTGATTTTGGGAATTGAAATCCATCAAATCTCTGTCATCCTGCCGTTCCATTCCTCTCCAAATTGCTCCAGGTTTTGAATAAAAACCTGAAGAATATTTTCAGATTTTGTGAGACATTTGGAGTTTGTCCATCTTCCATAGCAAAGCGATTTCCATTCTACATCATACTGGGATTTAATTTTAGGACAGGCCTCATCTACATCATTGTTTTGTCCATTTTCCTTGTGGTTTACATTTGTCCAACTATACAATACCCTTAGTGGTGGAAGCTATATGGTGGGTGAGGTTGGATGGTAGGATTATGAATCTTAAGCCATTCTTGTGCCTTGGTATTAAGTTTCGGCGTCGTTTGGATCATTTTACGTTAGTATTTTTTTAAAGCACATATTTAGTCTATTTTTTTTGTATGGCATTTTTTATTTAATTTAATTTTTTAAATCTGAATAGACACCACCCGCCGCTGCCTACCACTTACCATTATCGTCACTAGCTTCTATCACGGCTCGCAATCACCGCCATATATTATAGGAAAATTTATGTACATACGACTTATAACATCCTATTTACATATCTAACAACCAAAACTTTAATATTACATATATACTATCCTATAATATTTTAATATCAAATATGTCACTATTATTTCCTTCCTACCACTCATATACTTCATTTCTATCTCTCATATTTGATATAAAAATAAATTATGAGTGGTATGTATGTAATATTAAAATTTTAGATGTTAAATATGTAAATAGAATAGTATAGAGTGGTATGTATGTAAATCTCCCATTATTATATTCAATAAAAAAGAAATCAATACTTAGTATACTAAACTTATTTTTATTTAATGTTAAAACATAAAGAATAAACAAAAATAAAAGTGAAAACTGATCCCAAATGACCCCCTAAATAAATGAATTCAGTATCTAACTGAAATAACATGGTAATTGCAAGCTGCAATGTTGTAAGTTTGCCTGATAAAGCTCTTTGACGGCTTCAGTCTTTTTACCTCCATCAAAGCCCTAGCTGGAGACTTACATAAAAGAACAGAGCTAATGGAGGAAAGCAAGAACATGTACAGTTCTAGGCGGTTCCTTTAGTGGCACGATATTTTCTTTTAGTTCTTTTTTCGTTCTTCAAATCTATAGTATTTTCATTTCTCTCCTTAATTGTCTTTGATTTCTCATGCATCTTTGCTAATTGCAACTTTGAATTTGCAGATGCATCGGATATCAATCTCTCGGAGGACTGAGTTTTCCCAATGGTTTTTTTTTTTTTTTAAGTTAATGCTCGCCTGCTGACTTTCTGTTGCAAAATTTTTCAGTGCTTTGTTTGAGACAGTTTTTTTAGTACTTTTTAGTATAGTTTTTTTTAATAGTAAAAAATAGTGATCAAAAGCTGCTCCAAACAAAGCCTTATATAAGTATTTATTGGTAGAGAAAGCAAACAAGCTATGGAATGTTGATTTTTTTTTTCAAAATAATTAGGTTGATCTTATTTATTTTGTATGCACACAATAGTTGTGATTATCTGTTTTTGAATATTATTGAAATATCATTTCAAGATTAGTTAATTTTTTAGAATTTCAATATAATTATTTTAATCACAAATAGTTTATTATAACCAATATTTATAGGCATCCATTGCTTTCAAAATTTTAGTATGGACTTCAATAATATATTATTATATATAAACTATAGGAGTTCAAAAGCTTTCGGGTCAGCCTGAAATTTAATCCGATAACTTCATTCAAATTTTAATTTGTAATGGAGCTGATTTGAATCCTGCCCATTAAGTGGAACAATTATTAGGTCCGGTGACTGGACGTAGCTCTACGTTTGATCACTACTGAGTTACCCAGTATTTGCTCGGTATTGCTTGGCAATAACAAAAAATACCGCTTTGTGAAGACCAATATCGAGTAATACGAGCAGTACTGAGTGATACTGAGTTTTTCTAGAAAAAACTCGGTATTGCTTGTGTTGCTCGGTATTTGTCTTCACATAATGGTATTTCTCGTTATTGTCGAGCAAAATCGATAAATACGTGGTTTTGTGCTTGCTACGTGGCGCGATTTAGTGCTGGCCGAACGTAGCTCTACGTCCTTTTATCGGACCAAATAAAATTTCCATTAAGTGGCTAGTAAAAATCGAGAGCAATTGATCAGCATTGGGACAAAAAATCTATGAAATTTTTAAATAAATTGAAAAAAATTACTCTAAATTATAAAATATTGAATTTGATATGTGATATTTTTTAATTGATATAAAATAAATGTAATGTATTTGGAATATTTTAAAATTTTTTATTGAAGTTTTACTACTTTCATTTTTAATTGTAAAATCAATATTTTATTTGACTATTATTTTTTTATACTTATAAAAAAAATTTTGAAATAGAAAGTTACTTTTTTAATCATTTTTAAGAAGTTTTTTTTTTTCTATGATAATTTTATAATTATTTTTATAAAATGTTCCTGTCATCTTAAACAAAATGTGAGTGTAAGAAAGATTAGTTATTGTGGGCTCCGAAAATTTCCATTTTGGGGGTGTGATCCCAGGGAAATTTTCAGATGGCAGATTGGGTTTGAGATAAGACACTACCCAGAGATTTCGCCCTCATTTAGTGAGGACTTTTTGATCTGAGTTCTGGTTTCCTATAGGCGCAAGCCCCTATGGTTAATTACCCCTCCTGATAATAGGAGAGAACTTTCGATTAAGGCTAGTCGTTCAAGCGTTCACATAGGTTATGAACTTATTGTATAATAGCAATAACTTAGGGTTTAAATTTTGGATTTGAATTTTAAAATTTGAAATTTAGAGTTCATCACCATAAACTTAAAAATAGTGGTGGGGGGAATGAAGACGAGCCCGATCAAGATCCCATGGTTCTGTCGTCCTGGGCTGTCATGTTCCCTGGTCTACTTAGTCAGAGGAGGTAGTCGACCCAACCTGACAGAAGGCACCTTGTCTGCAACCATGGGTTGCTTCGTCCAAGAATACCTTGTAGACCTGGGTTGGTATTTGTCTAAGTGGATATATCTGAATCCACCTTAGCTAACATAAGGCTTTATGCCTATTGGATATACCCTATAATCCATCGCTCAAGGGTTTGACGCCTTTAGGGAACATACGGGCTTTGGTCGTGATCGTAATATAATGGTGCCATTTTGCGGCAAAACCACCCGATCAGAGGGCACGTGCCACGTCCCTGTTGGCAAGAGACTGTTTGAGGATGAACCTTAGTGATACACCCGACATGCATTTGCTCTTTGTTAGCTGAGGTTAATTTCAGATTTATCACCCCCGACAAACGGTTGCGGGAGGTGGATGATTTTTAGTTTTGAGTTTTTAGATGATTGATTTTATTTCAAGAATTTGGACTTTTGTTTGATTTGAGATTAAACATTTGAAATTTGAAATTTGACCCCTCTGGTTGAGATTTTCAGTCAACACGGCCATCTTCGGGGTGATTAT